GAAGATATAGACAGGTTCAGTGGGTTACGGATCTCCACACACAAAAAACAAATACGGGACAATGCAGCTGAGCTGCTGTGGCGTGTTGACTGCTGCAGCTTGAGAGTTGGCAGAACAGGTGAGGCCCGTTTTTCCCTCCTATCTTGTGTGTCTGGCAGGTAGTTCCATAGAGCTCAGGGATTCTACCATGAACGAAGAAGAAGCCACCATTAACAAAATCTGTATTTCCCAGTGAAAAGGCAGTACCACCCAATCCACCAGAAGCATAATTCCCACAGGCACAGTGTGATGGATGTAAGTAAAAGTCTAATAACTATACGAGCACTATATTTTCATTGCTGGGGTACATTTTATTTCTATTATAAAAATCCTTTTGGTAAGGAACAAGTCTTTTTTCATCTCAAAAATACATGTTAAATTAAGTCTGCCAACGGAGCTGTGTCAATTCCTTGAGCATTAGCACCCATGCACAAGAGAGGACACAAGTTTCTTTTAAAGTGTTAACTTCATTAGGAAATACAGCCAGGATACGTGGTCCTGGGGGGTTGTTTTTTGTTTTGTTTTGTTTTTCTCTGAAGGCTCTAAGTATGAATCAGTTGAGTTACAGAGCTGCTGATGCCTCGCCCACAGCAGCATTTGATTGGATCATGGCATGTTTGTTCCTGCAAGGCATTGTTGACTTACTTATTACTACAGTGCCTTTTAGTGTTTCAGTTAAGTCTAGTACTGTAAGCACGTGTTTTTCTGGGAATGTATATAGGTATTCTTGTTTCATTCTTCTGCCCTTTATGTACCCACATATGAAGTCAGAAAAAGAAAGAGATGGAGGCACAGGGGTTTTAAAACGGGCATTGTCTGAGTTACGGAAGCCAGCTGTCACCTTGTGAGTGGACAAAGATGTTTGCCTGTATAGATTATTCCACAGCAAAGTGTTGTGCCATTTATTTTTGGCAGCTTGTACTGGTGGTTACATTTAAGTGAAAGAATACAGGATAAATGGATCACTGGTTTGATCCAGAAACTTCCTTTCCCTGAACAGCGAGAATGAGGTTAGGTTTATGGTGCTGTTCTGAAATTTCAAGTTGCTTTAACAAGCCATATGGCTACTACAGATATCAGAGACCTTTTAATTCTTCTGCCAAAGGGATTTTTCTAGCAAGCATAGCCCTGCATGAAAGCAGAAGTACTCGTGGAACTTGAATCCCAATCTCCGTGATGCAGGAATTCGGGAGGATATCACATGGATGCTAGATTTCACTGTCAGTCAAATCACTAGCAGAGGAGAGGCTTAATTCACTCCTCCGGGATGTAGTCGTCCTTGTCAGCTGTCTCAAGACCTTCGCACTGACCTTGACACAGGAAAACTTTACTGATGTCTCACTCATTTATTACCTAATCTGTGCACTGAAAGAAACCAGGGCCCATTAGAGCAAATAATACAGGAATATAGGATTGCAAGATGAACTGTGAATGGTAATTGAGGTATTGTTTAAAGCTGACATAGTTAAATCAATACAGAACCCTAGGTGGGCATCATTATGTTTGCTAAAATCTAATCTTTTGTGATTTGGAGTAGCAAATTTTTGAGTAGACTTTAATTAGTCCAAGGCACTTTCTTTGTATACCCAAGACATGAATCTTAATCTATACATTTATATGTATGAATTCAGACAGTTCTCCGTTATTTTAGTTCTTGACCTGGTGCCCCCATTGTCTGTTATTGTATTAGTGAAAATACCTGTTGATAACAGCTGAGCTGTATCAATTCAGCAGAGCTGGAATCCTGGACTCGTAGGTCCATAGACCAGATCTCTACCTTATGCAGTGAAAATAATTGAAAGCAGAAGTAGTCTATTGTCCTTCATATAGGGCAGTCAGGAGAAGGAGAATGTGACTCCTACAATTGTACAGCTGTTGATAGACAACACTGGAATACCAGGAATTGGGCTTCTGGGCTGTGGAGAGGCATAGATCCCCATGGTTACAGACACAGAGCGGTCCCCTAACTTTGACGTCTTTGTTCCAGAAGGCGTGTGGTTAAGTGGCCTTCACATCATCATATTAGAGACAGGGTTCTGTTTCCAACCTAGACAGAAGTGACCTTGTAAAATCTCAGGCTGTTACAGATATGAAACAATGAAATTCTGTTTACCTGCTGCATATAAGGCAGGTGAATGAGCTTTTGGTCAGTTAAAAAAAAAAAAGTCTTCTGAAATATGAAATATTGTAACTTATAAAAAATAGTTGAAAGCTGAGCTTGAAATCTGCATTCCATGGCTCCTTGTTCTGGTTGTCTTCCCAAAGATGTTTTAGTTCTGCTCTGTGTGTATTTTTTCTTGAGCTTTGGGGAGGGTTATCCAAGAAAGGAAGGAAATATGAATATTGTAACTTATAAAAAATAGTTGAAAGCTGAGCTTGAAATCTGCATTCCATGGCTCCTTGTTCTGGTTGTCTTCCCAAAGATGTTTTAGTTCTGCTCTGTGTGTATTTTTTCTTGAGCTTTGGGGAGGGTTATCCAAGAAAGGAAGTCATTAGGATTTGGAAAAACAGTAAATAGGTTCATTAGCCATTCTTAGGGACAGAGGTGCATTATTTAATGCAGATAAAGGAAAAGTAGGACTTAAAACATGCTTAGTGAAAACGGAAGGTTAAAGACTTTAGGAGCAAGCCATAATAAACTATATGTAAATAGATATTTTTGAAGGTTTATATATCAGCCACAGGTGCATGTCTTTTTGCATGGATGGCAAAAAAAAAAATTCTGACATCAAGATTCTGTCCTTGCTAAATTTCAAATTCCTGTTCCAAAACGCAGAGCATAAACATCCCGCAAAAATAGCAGAAAAAAATTGGCAAACAGTAACAAGGGTTTTCCCCTCAGTTCTTGTCCAAAACCGGTGAGACATGAAGCAGTTTGGAAGCTTGAAAATTTTCAACTTTAACTGTTTTAGCACATTATAGAAAATGAAAACAAAGGTCAGCACTGAAAGTATTTAGGCAGCCTTAACTGTGGCTGCTTAATGTGGCCGCTGTGTTGTCCTCCTGGAGTCCAGCTCTATGTAGCGTGATATCAGAAGTCAGGTGTTAAGCATATGGTCAGTGGACACCAAGGACTGTGTCTGGGTTGTGTTTCTTGGGGGGGGGGCGGTTGTCATGGACTGTAGATCACCGGCTGGAGCCTGGAGGACAGAGAGGTAGAGCTCCCATGATCTCTTGAGCTACATTCCAGAAACTGTCTGCTTTTCTTTGAAAAGTGCTATTTTCAAGCAGTTGTCTTGTAGCATTAAAGACATATAGATGAAAGTGAAGGAAGTTTTATCACTGTGAGAAATACAGGCTGGTATTGTTGATGCTTCTGATTTTACCTCTTTAGTTCCATATTTTTCCGTGTTTTATTGGCCTGTATTTAATATGAATTTTTGATAGTGTTTATGCAAATTACTGTACTGAGTCCTTCCCGGCAAATAGTCAGTTAATCTCAGCATATATCTATGGTATGACATACATGGGAATATGTCTGTCTAGATGCACATTCTGTATGCTTCCTGAGAAATACCTGTGTAAAGACAATGAAAATAGCTACATATAACTAGTTATACCCAGCATACCCTGCTGAGGTCACTACCCATCATAAACTGACTGGAGATATTTTGAAAATGAGAAACCAGTAACCTGAGGTCCTGGGGAGGTACCTGGTAGTACCTTGCAGGTGCTCCTTCTTGTGTCTCCGGGTCTCCCCAGTCATTACACAATAATGACTCTCTTGTTGCTGGGCAGCTGTGGGGATGGAGAACCTTGTAGAGGAAGCCATCAGCATTTCCCAAACACCTTGTTCTCTCGTGCAGGCATGGATGTCCTAAGGTCTGTTTCAGTGAGGGGAGGGAGAACAATCACAGAGTGGGAATAAGCATCTCATGTTCCCATCCACCTTCACATTTTTGTATTTTAGAAATCAGAATGGGATATTTTCATGAATCCTTACTCAGTGGCCAGACCCTTGGCTGATACATGGTTCCTATGTTTCATTTGCCTAATTAGAGCTGTGGCTAGTTTATGGATGCTTATCTGACTTAGAGTTGCTATTGTGAGACATTTAGAGAAATGTCTGAGAGGAACATTTTGTAGAAATCTGGCCTCAAAAAACCATGGAAGGGCCAACAATGTGGCCTTTCCCTGGGGCACAGGTGGCTGGCTTAGGCTTAAGGCTATAGTGTTGTACATAGGGCAGCCTTGGGGCTTTCCTCATGTAGAAAGATGTAAATCAGTAGTACTTAACGTCAGCTGGGTCTGATCTTTCACTCCTTTTAGCTCGTAAATTAATTTATATCTACACAGACTGTGTTCAAAATACTGTTACTGAGGTACTAGCCACTCCAGTGCATATTTCCACTGAATGGAATAGCATTACAACATTATCAAATAGCTCTCGAGTATGAATTCATCCAAGAAGTAGGTTATTAGAATAAAGTCTATTTTATTAGTGCCTTAGGTCACTCAGGCAAAATCCAGAGCCCTTGAGCACTATTCAGACACATAACCTGAAACAGTCTCTACCTCAGAAATTTATAATCAAATTAGACAAAGCAGACAAATAAGGGGAAATAGAGAAATTGAGGCAGGGAGGGACAAAATGGGTTCTCTGCCACCATGTAGCCGGGAAGTGTGGAGCTAGGAAATAGCACAGATGGTTCCTTTTAAAAAGTAAAAACGAAAAGGTGCAGTGATGTAAATGAGAATTTATTAACAACAAAGCCCAGAAACTGCACCTCCAGAAAGAAAGGGAAAATAATTTATCCGCCCACACTCACTTTTTTCTGACGAAGGCAGGTGAATACAGCTGCACTAACAGAGTGTGACGCTCACAATCCTGAGCTGCACTTGCTGTTACAGAACTGAGAGGTAACCATTGTCTCTAGGAAAACAATAGCCCTTGCAGGCTCTGCGGTGGCTGCAAGGGTAACACACTGTTCATTCCCTGCACATGTCATTTTCACGTGAAGGTCTTTCCAGTCCAGCTGTTATGGAGTCAATGGATGAAGCTGAAGGACAACAAGGACAGCTGAACAGGAAGGAGCAGTCTCTGAAGACCTCCCAGAAAACAGCACTGCTTGGTTGGGCTGCCCGGTGGAATGGATTAATGCCTGGAGACAGCATGTATCTGTTTGTCCTCTCACAGATACTGGTAAGGCAGCTTGTCATCGCTTTGAAATGCTGGGACCCTTCTTTTAAGCTTTGTTGGCTTGGGAGGTTTCCTCCTCATTCATTGTAGATGTAGCAATAGACATAGCTGCAGTCCTCTCATTCCTGCAGCCACCTCTCACAGCCTTGCTTTGCAGGGCAAAGCCCCTACCTTTTGATGTCCCAAACTCCCATCCCATTCCCTGCCCCTCTGCAAATGCCTCCTTTGCCAAATGACCCATCTCCTAACAAATCCATCTTCTGTAGCTGATACGTATGGGGGTACGTAACCGTTTTGTTAAAAAGTGGATTGGGAGGTGTATCCTTTAAAGTTGCAGTGTGCCCTTCGTGGTTGGGGATGAGGGTATACCTCTCTGTGAGGGTGTTAAATATAGCATCATTGCTTTTGTAGTTTTATGTTAACTGTGGTGTGTGCAGTAACCTTAAGTGGTTCAAATGAAATGTTTCAACGTGTATGTTTGTGTGTCTGTATCTGTACATAGGGATGCCTGTGTGAACATGGCTATTTGTGAGAGCTTTGCATAGTATGAGATAGGCCTTAATAGTCTTTTAATAACATACAAAGTTCATTGAATTACCAGTTTTGATCTAAAAGTAGTAATGCTGAAAGTTCAGAAGTCAGAGGAATCTGTTGCTCTTCTCACGTACAGGCTACCATGGGCAGTCCTTTTGCTAGTGTAGATCAGAGTAAGCTTGATTAACTTAGTGATATGCATCTAGTTAATGGTAGCTGAGCATTTAGCATTCAGCCTTTTTATTCTTGCTAAGCTACAGCCTAGAAAATACCTGACTTCTTAAAGCAAAAACGATGATCAACACGAAATCAATGAAAACTAAATTAGTTAATTATGCAGTCTTGAAATGAAAATGAATGTTTGTATAATGAGAGATGCTCATTATGTATTTTCTGATTGATTACACAGCTTCTCTGCATGATGCTGTGGTACAGCACTTATGGGACCATCCCAGCAGCTCAGAATGCCTTTGACCTGCTGTCTTACTTGCTTACCCCATTTAAACAGTTTTTGTCAGATCAAGGGGAGGTAAGTCCCTGTACTCCTCTCTGGTTATATAGTTGATGTCAGTAGCCTTGGGTGGTGCTTCTAATACCTCTTCTGATTAGAAGTATAATACACATGTACTTCATATAATATAGTGACTGCTGCATTGTGTGTGTCCCCTGAAACGGTGAAAAGAGTTTTCTGAAAACAGATCCATATTTTATCTTCAAGACACAGGGCTGAATTTTGGTTATGACGTTAGATCAGCACAACAGATTTTTCATAATGTGCAAATGATTACAAATGAAACAAAGCAATAAGAAATCAGCCCACTAAGGTTTAGCCCACAGTAAAGGGAGAGCTGGACCTTAATTTATTGGGATGGATAGAAGCTTAAATTCTGGAAGAATGGATCAACCCATATAAAGGGTGCAAATCACAAGATACTCAGTCACAAAATTCTATTTTTGTTGAGTGTTTAGAGCATATCTATGTGCAGTAAAAGTATTTCAGGTGTACTAGGTGTACAGATTCAATTATATCTACAAAGCTACCCCAGTAAAATTGCTTAGGTTCTCACCATGACATAATGACACGTATACCGGTATGATTCATCTGATAAATTACTGGGGTAATTATACCCAGTGCAGATTTCTCTAGTGTGGACAGAACCTTAATTAAATGGTGAGCAGCTACTTTCATAAATCAGGCAAAATATATTTGATATCAGAATGTTTAAATTTGTTGTACATAATCTTTGTAGCAGAGGCTGTGCAGTACAAATAGGAAATCTGACTCAGTGCCTCTTGTGGCTGAAGTACAGTGCAGACTGTTTTCTCTGTTTGCTTAACAATGTTTATGTGCTGCATGTCACCTACTCTTTTGCTTATTTGAAAGAAGCACTTTTTCTTTGTCCTTTCTTAGTTGGATTTATTATGCACAATCAGAGCTCTTCAAAGAGCATTGCCTGTATCTTATTTGCAGTGGGTCAATCATTAACAAATTGTTCCTTACAGAAAATCCCTGATTTATAGGATTTTGACTTAAAATAAGTGTTCAGTGTGGAGGAAACTGATTCCTAGAATGCACCACAGGAACACCCCAAGTATGACTCTGTGCAGATGTTCATGCATATCTTTGAGGACTGTTTATTATAGCACTATTTACAGTGCAAATTTAGACTTGAAAACAGTAAAGGCAAAGAAATATTCTGATGTTAAAATAAGCTCTTAACTCTGAATTTATCTTTAGCTGTACTAGTGGGTCAGAAACAGAGTAAAATTCCTTGCCCACTGAAGCCCATTAGAATTGTATTTTGTACCTGCTACTGAGGATAGGCTGAACTCTAAACTACTTAAATATGACTAGGATATCAGAGTGAATTTCACTGCCAGTGCTGTGAATGAACCTGACGGTATTTCACAGAACGTGTAGAAAATGTAGAAAAGTCCTCTGTGGCTGGGTTTTACGTAAGGACCCACAATTACCCGAACAGTACTAAGCTTTCTTTGAAGCCCTTTGCCACAGTATAAAATTACACTGACTGTGGTAATGAAACACGGGTCCAGGCTGCAAAATTGAATCATGGATCCAGATCTCAATTTTGGCAATGCATGAGGGTAGGAAGCAGATTTCCTGTTTGCCTTCAAAGTGAAATCCATTTTTTAGACCTTCTGAGATGCTGGGGCTTAGAGGTGGTTTCAGTTTCAGTCTTCTCCAAAGCCTGGCATTTTTCTGTTGTTGGTGGTGGCTTTTCCAGGGACAAGAGTAAGGTATGACTAAATCTACATGGGAAATCCAAGAATGAATACATAGTTTGCCAAGAACATGCATGCAGACACTATACGGTGCCCCTAAATATTTTATGAATCATTGTCAATTCTGTTGTTTCACAGGACCTGACTGGAATCGGGAGCATTGTGGCATCATACATCCTGCTGTCTTTAGCTTCTCTAGGACTGTTATTTATAGGATCTCTGGTAAGTTATGATACTGTGCAAACTATATTCATGCCCTTTTTCAGTGAGTTTTTATAAGATGTCTAATCTACTTGAAGTTGTTGATCTTACGCCCAAGTTGATTGTAAAGCCACATCTTTGGGGCTATTTCTATATAATTATCTGCTTGCTTTACATAGAGGAATCATGACTACACTTATCCTTACTCAATTTCTTGATGAATCGGGGATTACACTGATGGTTTTTATTCTCTCCATCCACAGATGGGCAAACTATTTTCACTTAAATAGAAGGGATGTGGTCCAGTAATGGGACCGTCTAATATTGCTGCCTTATGAATTACCTGCAGAGCATCCATTGACTTAAGTGGCAGAAATAGCTGTTCCAGAGCACCAGTGTACTTGTGAATATAATGCCCTTGTAGATGTAGGCCAAGGCCCCAGCTGCAGAACAAGATGACTACAATTAATCTAGTTAGCTGTCAGCTGTTTGGAAGCAGGAGGAGTATATTGTGTTTCTCCATTGATTGTGTAACTGGCACAAAGGTTGTGCTAGATGGGAAAGCTAGGGAGAATTCTTTCTTTTTAAGGAGCTCTAATTGAACATGGCTTTTCATACCCTTGTGTACTGTTCTGTTAGACTGGGAATGTAGTTACTGAAAATGCAGGTGTAACATCACCTCCTGTCCTTACAGCAGTGCACCTTCAGGCAGCCAGGAAGCTGAAGCTGTACCATGTACATGCTGTTTGAGTGATGTACAGTATAATGAAGTACATCATAGAATCACAGGACTGTTGGTGGGAAGGGACCTCTGGAGATTGCTAGTCTCACATCCTGCTTGAAGCAGGGGTGTTGCTAACACTCGGTAAGGTCAGCCATGCATTTTTCTACACAGATTTTGAAAACCTCCAGAGAAGGAGATGTATCATGTCTCTGGGTACCTGTGCCACAACTGCATGGCGCTCTTGGGGGAAGAATTTTCTCCTAATGTCTCATCTGAATTTCCCAAAGCTGAATGTCCAAGCTGAATTTCTGCAACTTGTGGCCGTTGTACCGTGTGGTATCAGCTGCCACTACCAAGAAGAGTCTGGAGGCATTATCTCTAGAGCTGCCCTCCAAGTAGTTGCAGGCTGCTGTTAGATCACTCCAGCTTCCTCTTTGCCAGGCTGAACAAGCCCAATTCCCTCCACCTTTTTCAAAGGTCATGTGCTCCAGACTCCTGACCTCCTTTGTAGCTATCCACTGGGCCCACTCCAGTTTGTCTTTCTCTGTCTTAAACTGGAGAGCCTAAAATCAACACAGTATTCAAGGTGCAGCTGCATCAGTGCCAAGGAGACAGGAATAATACCTCCTTCGATTTGCTGGCCACACTCCCTGGTAGCCCAATTCCTCCACCTTTTTCAAAGGTCATGTGCTCCAGACTCCTGACCTCCTTTGTAGCTATCCACTGGGCCCACTCCAGTTTGTCTTTCTCTGTCTTAAACTGGAGAGCCTAAAATCAACACAGTATTCAAGGTGCAGCTGCATCAGTGCCAAGGAGACAGGAATAATACCTCCTTCGATTTGCTGGCCACACTCCCTGGTAGGAAGTCCACCTTTTTCAAAGGTCATGTGCTCCAGACTCCTGACCTCCTTTGTAGCTATCCACTGGGCCCACTCCAGTTTGTCTTTCTCTGTCTTAAACTGGAGAGCCTAAAATCAACACAGTATTCAAGGTGCAGCTGCATCAGTGCCAAGGAGACAGGAATAATACCTCCTTCGATTTGCTGGCCACACTCCCTGGTAGGAAGTTTGTCATATTACATACCACGGTTAAGGTCACTCAGAGGCAGCACAGTGGCAAAATCTTCTGTTTAAAGTGTTGGGTGAATGTGCTTTGTAAGACCATTCACAAGGCAAAGTAATTAGTGTTAATGCCTCCATTATTGTGATCGTTGATGTAGGCAAGGAAGTTAGCTGGGCTTAGGCAATTTTCTGCTTTTTTGATGCTGCTGTTCCTTACCCAGATGAATTTTGTCCTCAAAAAATAAACTTCTGGTGATTTTGTAATTGCAAATATTAAAGAACAAAAATGAGACATCTGAGAATTGTGATGAACTGTGTGAATTCTAGGTAATTTTGCAGAAAACATTCTGAGCTGGAAATCAAAATAGCAGGGGTGTGATTTCTCTGCATATCCAACCTAGTTGTTGCTGAATGGAAACATTTTATTGCTGACCCATTCTTAGCACAGCAAGTAACTTTAAATGAAAGTTCTCTGTGACCAAAAATTCTGATCTCAGTTTGAACTGCTTTGCATATGTAGTAACTCCTTGCAAGTGAACACTTACATCAGTGTAGATGAGAGTGGACTTTGTGCAGAAAACAGTTTTATAACAGTTTCCACATAGTCAAACTTGCTCTGTTTTGTATTCCTGTGGTCTCAGTCTCCTAGCTAGAGTGGAGGCATGAATGTCTCTGTGTGACAGCCTGTTCTCTGGACAAGTCACAGAGAACTGGAACATAAGAAATGTCCTGTGAGGTCAGACCAATGGTCCATCTTGCCCAGTATGTTCTCTCTAACAGTGGCATTAGGAAGGAGAGGCTGTTTAGAGAGAGCATATGAGCCTTATCCCTTCCTACCTACCTGTTACCTTACTCTCTGACGTAGAGTCATAGAATCATAGAATGGTTTGGGTTTGAAGGGACCTTTAAAGGTCATTAGTCCAGCCCCCCTGCAATGAGCAGGGACATCTTCAACTAGATCAGGTTGCTCAGAGCCCCGTCCAGCCTGACCTTGAATGTTTCCAGGGGTGGGGCATCCACCACCTCTCTGGGCAACCTCTTCCAGTGTTTCACCACCCTCAGCGTCAAAAATTTCTTCCTTATATCTAGTCTGAATCTACCCTCTTTTAGTTTAAAACTGTTACCCCCTGTCTTATTGCTACGGGCCCTGCTAAAAAGTCTGTCCCCATCTTTCTTATAAGCCCCCTTTCAGTACTGATAGGCGTCAATAAGGTCTCCCCGGAGCCTTCTCTTCTCCAGGCTGAACAACCCCAATTCTCTCAGCCTGTCTTCATACCAACAGGTCACATGTCTTTCTGGGCTGAGGATTCCAGAGCTGGATGCAGTACTCCAGGTGGGGTCTCACCAGAGCAGAGTAGAGGGGCAGAATCCCCTCCCTCGACCTGCTGGCCACACTTCTTTTGATGCAGCCCAGGTCATGCTGCTTTGCAATTTGAAAACATCTGCTTCTATCGGTATTTAGGGAATAAGGTATAAAATAGTCATTAGCAGAACATTGAAAATAATGTAGTGATGGAGCTAAGCAGGGTTTCTAGAATCCCAGCCTGGTAGACAACAGATAGTTGCATGAAGACAGTTTTCTTTATTTTTCCCTCTTTTTCAGCTGAGTGATATCTTCTTTTTTTTAAATTTTATTTTTTTATTTTTGATTTTTCATGAGTTTTAAGCAATGCACTGCCTAGAAGAGACCTTAAAGGGGTCTTTTACATTAAGGAGTGCCTTTATGATGAAATCTTTCTTTCCCAAATATACCCTTCTGTCTTTATAGATACTTCTGTCTTTATACACACTGGTGTATATACTAGATGGCATAGCAGTGAAAAGCAGCTTATTGCATTTTTTTATCCAGTAACTTACAGTAATGCTTTAGTAGTTCCCTGGGGAAGGGAGAAAATGTGCCTTTTTATACAGGTAATTTGTTGCTTTAATGTAGAGCAATAACTGTTGGGCCACCTAATGAGGCTGAGAAATGGTGGTCAAGCGGGTTCTCAGAAGTGATACCAAGAGAAGAGAGGCCCTGGCTGGACTGTGCACTTGCTAAAGTGCAGCTCATACCTGTATCAGGCAGTTTGTGACACTAATACATGTAGAGCAAATTCTTCGGGAGAGCAGACCTCAGCTAAGGTTTGAGGCACTTCTCTGAGAATACCCAGGTACCAGAATGTGCTGGGAGGTTAGCAATCACAGTGAAAATAAAAGACTGGATAGAGTGCTTGAGGCTTGTATTAGTGATGCTGTCTGTTTTCTGCCTCATATAATGGTGTTTTAAGACCCAGGCAGCTGCAGAGAACCAGCATAGAGCTGTCTAGTCCTCCTGAACAGGTTTTCGGAGCTGCCTATTTTTCCATTATTTAGTTTAACCCCATCACTTTTAAGTATAACTTAATTTCTTCCAGTGTCTTCGGCAGCTCCTTATTTACCACACACTCCTTTCAATCTAAAGAAAAGCTGCTTTTTTTCTAGGGTGAACTTTTTGTTCCTTTGGATTTACAGTATGTTAAATCACCAGTAAAATCAATCCTGTGTCACCACAGCAGCTCTAGAATCTGTAATACATAATTGGTACCTAGACCTTCAACTTGGCCCTCAGCACAAGTGTTGATTTTAGTAACAACAGCACTCTCCAGCAGTACAAAGTTGTTGAGGAGATACTTTACACTGTGAACTGCTCAGCTATTACAGTCTTGCAGTAAGTGAAAGAACCGTGGCTAGTACTGTGGGACTGCCAAGCTCCAGAAGTCATCTTGGGAAATGAAAATAGAATTAGATCTTTAAGCTTCTTGCTTGTCATCCAACAGGCCAAGCATGTGGGACAGACTCAGTTCAGATTTGCCCCCAAATTTGTGTAAAATAGAAGTATAGTATCATGTTCCTATGTTTGCTTTTGTATTTACTGTGTACTCTGATTAACTGAAACAAAAAACATTTTGTGTGAAGTAACTGTCAAACGAATACTGCTGCTTTATGAGAGTCTTAACATTGGCTAAAGCTGACTACCGACAGAAATTAAAATTTTCTTCACTTCCTTTCATTCTTTCTCAGAGAAGTGAGAGTACATGAAGACACACAGGCACAAGAAAATAGTTGTTTAAAATCCTATACAAGCTAATGTGCTTTAGTAGCCTAGAAAGAGAAATTTGACCTTTTTTAATGGCACGTTTTCTAAATTCAACTGCCTATTTAAAAGCCATATAAGAAAAGGACAGAAGACACTTTACTTTGGAAAATACAACCTGTTCTTCTTAGTCTCAAAAGGATGCATGGCAGTACAATATAGTTTGTATAACATTTAGCCTGAGCGATACTGCTCCTAGTTCAGTGCTAGAGGGATGAAGTTGGCCTAAGGTTCCAGATCCTGGAATTTAGAGGTGGACTTGAAATTTTTAACTGAGGCCTGCATGTAGGATTAAACAGTCTACTGATACAACCTCTAAATCATCTCGTCTGCCACAGCATCCATGCAAACCAATGTACAGTAATTTTTTAGATTCTTGCCATTTCAAACTCTTCATTAGTTTATAACGTAAACTTTAATATTACATTTATGTCCTAGAACTTCACAAGATTTATTATTTAATGTCTATACCATGTTTAAACCGGATAATTAGATTACAAAACAGACTTTGCCACTGGCCAGAAACTGAAATTGGCATTCTGAGCCTCAAAACCAGTTGCATCAAAATCAAGGCCTCTTTAAAAAATGATTGGTTTATACACGAATTTGGGGTACAGTGCCAGATTATCAAAGATGTGTAGTTCAGGAAAATTATGTTTACTTTTCTTAACCCAGCTATATCTAAATTTTAGATGGAAGACCATTAAGTCAGGAGAGGTATGATTTGTAGAATAGTATAGTAGATTTTTATTTTGTAAACAAGCCTAGGAAGGGGAAGAAACTGAACAAAAGGACAGTGATATCACGTTGGCTTGCATATGATGGTCACAAGCACATTCTGCTTCCACTGTATCCCCGAGTTAAGCCTGGCCAGCTCTGTGGAAACCTCTGTGGCTGAAAGCAGGTTTGAATGGGTAGATGTGAATCCTTGTAACATGCACCACAAAGCTACTCCTGCATGGAACATTCCTGTCCTGTTCAATACTCTCCAATTCCAATACATTATAGTAAGCTGGGATGCTGCCCTAAAGACCAACCCTCTAGGCTGTATGGAAGGGCTGGCAACAAGCAGAAAGCTTTCTTAATGTTTGTTTCCTCCAGTTTTGGCATCTACTCAGAGCCCGTCCAGACCCCCCTTTTCCGCTACAAGAGGACAGACGCCAATCTGTGAGCCGGCAGCCTTCATTCACGTACTCAGAGTGGACAGAGGATAAAAATGAGGATGACTTCCTAGATTTGGATCCCGTACCAGAGACTCCGGTCTTTGACTGCGTAATGGACATTAAAGCGGAGACAGATCCAGCTACTCTAACGGTTAAATCCGTGGGCTTGCAAGAAAGGTAGGGTAGATGTGATTACTAGGGGAAAGTCTGGTCCCAGATTTTGTGGATTTAGGAGTTCTGTGCCAAGTAGGAAGCTTTATTGCCTTCATGCAATGTCACTTTAAAATGTGGTTTTAAAGCCAAGCACCTGCTTTATTTCCTGTCTTGTTTTCAGTCTGGTCATAAATATAAACATATTAGCCAAAAAACAGACGGTTTCTAGATGGCTGTCAACAAGCGTTATTCAAAAGTGCCATTTCTTTCCTTTGAAATATCCATTTGTATTTGATCAGTCTCTTGCCGTTCCCCAAGATGGCAACTGCATAGCATGAAATCCACTATAGGGCGGTGAAAGCTTTTACCTCTGAAAGAGGTGGATCTTGTTAATTTTTTTCTGTTACTCATGCTGGAGGATTAGTCCTTTCTCCAAAAGCAAACCGTAGGACAAATGGTAATCTGCAATAATTCTCATATAAATGGGTTAGTCCAAAAGTAAATGAATTCCTTTGAAATTAACCCAGTAATGAAACTTTGGGGTTAGCTGATGTTCACTCCTTGAACCAGCAGGGCAATGGAGCTTCTCAGAGATTCACAGCTGGGAAAAGGCAGTTTTAAGATAAAAGGAAGATAGGAATGATGCAGTATTGATTTGTGTTGCATTTCTCCATCTTTACTCGTACATCTCACAGAAAGGTCACCTGTACTGGGTAAACTTTAAAAGGCCCGGAGGTGGGTGAATTCCAGAATGTGTGAGTTGAGACAGGGGAATGTTCAGCAGAGTTACTGAGTGTTCAGTTGGACTGAATTATCCTTATGCTTTCATCCATAAGATTATTTTATTTCACTTTGCCAGTGTGTCTGTGTGTGTGAGTGAATGGATGAGTGAAAGGAAGTACACCAGATTTAGCATCCTCATCTCTGAGGCTGAGGTTAGTTTAAGGTTCCTGTCTTTTCTTCTGTGGATTACAGGAAGCTTGAGTTTATATTGTTGGCAGCCTGCGTCTTTTTCTGTTTTGTGTTCTTGCAATTGTCTTAGTGAAAGAGAACAAAGATCTTGAGGACAGAAATCCCATGAAGAAATTCTGCAAAGGCGATGATAAGAATGAGGTTACTGGAGGGCCAACATAGCGATTTATCACCTTTCTTTATTTCTAGATTTTTCAAGCTTAATTGGAGTTCTAACCATAGTTAATTCTCATATCTAAAACTTAAAGGGCAGAACTTAAATTTTAAAAAGTATGATGCTGAGTTTCCAAAGTGCCACATGACACAGTAGAAGGGAGTGTTACAGAAGAGGCTTTTAATTTGCACTCTGTGAGCTTAGAATGTTTTTCCTCACTTTATTCTTGGTTACAACATTTTTCCTAAAATGTCCTACCTTTTATTGTTATATTCTTCTATTTTATATTTGAGATTGCAGTAACCTCTGGGGCTTGTCCCTGAACCTGCTGCTATCAGTGAGTTTTGCCATTGTTTTTCATTATGGGCAAGATTGGGCTCGAAATGCATCACCATCCCTGATTTCATTCCATCTCTCTCATTTCAAAGATGCTAACATTTCTTCTCAGGTGACCGCTAGCCTGCAGGAAAGATATTCACTGTTTCAAGAGAATTGGGGAATATCAGTTGATTCAAGTAATGAATTACAATTAAAAAACTGTCAAAGAAGTAGAGATGGGAAAAAGAAAACAATTGCTTGAAATGCTCATGCTAGGTAGAACGTGTACACTTAAGATGTAAAATAAACTTGTTTTCAACATACACATGTGCTTGAGAAGCCAGACATCATTTCAGGTTTGGGCTGAACTCTGAAAGATTTCATTTACATCAAGCATTGGTCACTCTTCCTTTGTTTGGTGTTGTGTTGAATTATCTACCTATCCCTTTTCTGCATCCATTCTGCTTCTTCATCTTAATTTTCCTCTCATTCTTTAACCACCTACGCCATTAGAAGGGTAGTCACTATCTAAATTCAAACAGCACTGAATGTTACTCTTAAGAAGAAACAATCTCATTTCCTCATGCTGAAGAACTATTAATATATCTATATATGTAGCTGCTTCTACCTTAAAAGAACCCAAAGTATTTGTTATCAAATGCATCTGTTTCTGGGGAGGAATGTAGTAGCGATTTAACAGCACACAGGGTAGGAACAAAACCTTTTGAAAGGTGTCACTAAAGATTCGGTGTCTACCATCAGTGATCATGTTTCATCCAAAATCATTTCCCCATGACTGTGAATCATCCTGCCAGCAGTAGGCTGGCTGCACATTATTTTGGAAAAACTCCTGAATCCGGAAAAGGGCTGTGATCCAAGTAACAACTTCTACTGTCTTCTTTGTGAGCTAGTCATTCTGCACGTTTGCATTGTTTTTCAATAGCTCCTGCAATCACCTTCCAACTAGATTTTGCCAGTTGAAAGTCATCAAAAGTAGGTTTACTGTGTGGATGCATAGAACTTTACACCTAGTAATCATCATACTGTATGATTTTATTATTATGTTAAAGATATTTAAATATAGATTCACTGATGGCATCTGAATCTTACTTTTGTCTGTGATATGCAAGATTGACAGAAGCTCAGAAATGCTTTAAAACTGCGTTCGATAAACAATGCAGGCATTTTGACTTTTTTGCTTTATTGTGTAGCTAACTTAAATAAAAGCCACTAAAAATTCTATGCTCAACAGCATCTCTGTTTTTAATGTAACTGTTAAAATGTTGGGACCTTCATTTTATCCTTCTCGTGATGTACTGTTGTGGAAAGAAAGTTTTTCAGACAGAAAAATTATTTGCTGTAATGGTTTGCATCTCATGTCTTTATTAATTAATGTTGAACTGGTAATGTTTATCCCAAGATCTTACCCCACTGATGTTGTCTGTGCTACTAATAAATGGTTATTCAGTAGGATCTGGCCTGATGAAAACTAAGACCAATATTTTCATCTGTGGTGTCTAAAATGTCAGTCCATATTCAGGCATCCAAAAATACGGTGTGATTTACACAAGTATGAAAACTTTCCTGCAGTTGCCTGCTCAGCACCTTTGACAAGCAAGTTGCTTCCATTTAGGTGACAAAGTATACAGTTACCTCACTACAGACAACACTTTGAAAGTGTTGGCCTTCAAATTCCAGTGTACAAAATCATCTTTTGGTCTTGCCTACACAAGAAGCATCACCCATTTTTCACAGTTAGTGACAATAATGTACACAGCAGAACCAGCTGGGTGCTTTTCTAAAGTTGCTGTTTATCTGTCATTGGGACTGTATCCATTGCTGACAATGATGGGTCAGTCTGTTCTGCTGTAAGCAAACTCCGATTGCTCTGTTTTGCAGGAGAGGTTCAAATGTTTCGCTCACACTGGATATGTGTACCCCAGGCTGTTCTGAGCAAGGTTTTGGCTATGTCATGTCACCACGGGAACAGTCAGCCCGAGAATACCTTCAGACGGCATCAAACATCCTTACTGAAGAGGAACTGCACAAGAAAGCCCTGGATCCTTTCATACTCCAGGCAGAGTTCTTTGTGAGTATCTGACCTTTCTCTTCTAGGAGCACCAGAAAAATGGGATGTTGTCTCTCTTCCATGAACCTTGCTATTATTTTCTGCAAGTCTAAAATTAGTACATACAAAGTCCACTTCCATCAGTGAAGCATTTAATGCAATTCCGAAATTCGTCATCCCTTGAAATGACAGTGTCTGAAAGCTTTCAGTGATATTGCCACTTAAAAACCAGAGAATTGGTTCTGGCAACGAAAAATAAAAAAGCTTTGTTTTCACAAGTCTTTTTTTTTTTTCTGTTGGAATGCTACTTTTTAACAAAAAAACCAAACTTTTTCACTAGAGTACAGAAGAAAAGCCAAGTTTGCTATAGGCATAACTTCTTGAAATGTGTCTGGAGTTGCCCTAGGGATTAAATTAGTCCAAGTGCATGCTCTTTGCTGTTGAATGCTTGGCATGGAGCTACTTTCCAAGCCTGAATGTTCTCCAGATAACCGAAGCACAGGATGGCTATGTCACTCAGCAGGAGCCATAGAAAGTATGTCTTACTGGTTTTTTTTCTGCACAAAAATTATTTACTAGTTGTAAGCTGCTCTGTCAGTTGCTTTTAGGATTCTGAAGTATGCTTCCTTTGCTCACTGTTGCTTTGGGGGAAAGAATTCTTTGCCTCATTCTGGGAAAAAATATACGTATACAGATGAAGCAAGCAGTTGAAAATTGGATTTCTAAGTAGTTTAGCATAAAGGCCAGGTACATTTCAGGTGGTGAATAGACTGGCTTTTTAGATCTTTGCATTCTATGAGTCTCTTCCCTAACTGCTTGAGTGTCCATGTGATGGGCATTGTCATGTTTATTATACCTGGCAAAAAAAATATGCAAAATGCTGCAGTGGCTATGAGTATTATGTCTACTAGGCAGGGTTGTAAATTCCTGCAGAAGATGGGAGGTAACCAGGGCACAGTCTTCGCATGCTGCACTATTTGAGCTACTGATCAAGAGCTACTGAAGTTAATGCTGCCAAGTCAAATATTCTCTTAAGCATGGAATCTCAGCAGAGCAGGAGGAAGATGATGTTTTGCAACCTAACAGCCCTTTCAGCCTGTCCTCTTTATGAGGCCCTGCAAGGGCCTGAAAGGGCAGGAGTAACACTTTGAGTATTACTTGCTGTCCTCCCTCCTTGTGCAACTTCAGGGTTGGGGTTTTTTTTTCCACTTTACAAGCACAGGGGGAGATGAAATAGTCTGGACTTCTGTTTTAAAACAGACCGCCAAATATCTGTGGTCTTTAATTCACTTAGTGCTGTACAAGTTGAAGAAAAGCAGCTTTTGTGTAGGCAGGCCCTGATTCTTTTAAAGTAAAGCATCTACTGCTGTTCTAGGGAGGAAATGTTTGCTTAGCGAGTGTCTGAATTGACTGCTGAACAAGTCCACATACAGTTTCATCAGTCTCTAAGGTGCACTGTAGCTTTCAAGCAAAGAAAATAGTGTTAGAAGTAGGAAAAAATATGCTTCGTTTCTCTGAGATTTTGAATTAGTTTTCCTGGTGTTCAGAAAAATCATTCAACAGCCAAACTATCCCAAGTCATTTTCATTCTTTAATGAAAACTGAAAAAGCGTAGATAAAAATGCTGTGTAATAAAAATGTCATTTCTGTAATTAAAAATTGTAAACTAGTTGTTTTTTTTATGAAACAGTTATCACCAGCTAGCTCTGCATCGTGTATTTTCGGTCTGTCCAACCTGCTTGGTGGGTCCAGACCCACGATGAAGCAAGTAGCTGTGTTTCATTTTGGAAGAGAAGTCAGAGGAGATATCACTTGCAGGGCTAAGTCCTGAAATTCTTACAAGATTTAGAGTTTTTACTCAGACAGAAGTCCTGTTGATTTCACCAAAAATTTGCTTGAGCTATGAATGACTAAGTCCCAAAGACAGACCATGGAGCTTGGTTCAGGAAGAATTTTGGGTGACTAAATACCAAGTAACAATTGAGGAAAACATGAAGGTTGCATTCCCATGCAGTTTCTCAAATTGATAGGAAACTACTTCAACAAAATGTTTTTATCATTAATTGCCTCTGGTTAAGCCCAACAGTATGCTCAGTGCTGTGTAAGAGACAGGACACAGATAGTCAGTCTTCTAAAGCTACAGAATTTACCATAGTCAATAGCTCTGCTCATCTTAATTTCTTCCCAGAGTGAGGCTTGTCTTACTCAACCCTGACTCCCGTTACCAGTATGTCCAGTACTGGCCTCTCAAATCCAGTGTGCAGCAGCTGGGATGACCAGCTCTGCTCCCAAGCTCCCATGAGCCCTTTCTCTGCTGAGCCTGGTTGACACATCCCATTTCATCACATGCCTACTGACTCCAGTTGGTGGCAGATTCCTGTTTGTTCCTGCCTGGTGTTGGCCACTTAGTTGCGGGATATGAGTAGTGGAGAATAAGAAGCCCCTCCATCTTTGTGTGTTCTTTGGGTCAGTAGTGTAGAGAGCAGGTGATCCCTGAACACTTGTTTAAAGCTCCATAGGCAGGGACAGCAAAGTGTGGTGAGCAAAAAGAGTGACACTCCCCCAGCTCCATAGGGTCAGGTCAGTACGCCAACCTGTCATAATGTAGGTCATAATTTGTTGCTGGTGAGAGTCACTAGCAAGTTATTTCCTTCCACCCTCAGAGAGGAAGGAGGAGTGTGAGTCAGAAAGGATGGTGTCTGAGGTCCATTGCTTCTGGAGCAGAGTATCTTACGTACCACTTTTTGCTTTGTTCTGTGCCTACACTTGCGATTCAGTTCTAATAATATTAGGAGCTAACATAATGCCATTGCACGGATTGCTCAGTGATCACTATGAGCGTTTTCATATTAAGGATTTCAGAAAAGAAAGCCAGTGACAGTAAAAGGAAACATCAATCATACTTTGGTGGTAAATTGCTAGAAGTACTGCACCATATGTCTCAGTTGACTTCATCACTTTGCCTCCCTCACAGGCAGGACGTAATGGGCTTGGGGTTTTTATTCCTTTTGTGAATCTAATAATACTACCTACTGTGTTTTGTGTTGTTTGTGGGTTTTTTTAACAGGAAATTCCAATGAACTTTGTGGATCCAAAGGAATATGATATTCCAGGCTTAGTGCGTAAGAATCGCTACAAAACAATTCTCCCAAGTAAGTTTCCTGCTTTCTAAGTCACTGAGGCAGGGTGGTTTATTCCACATGCTGAAGGGCTTTGCACTTTCCTTTCTAGAATGCATCAAGTGTGCTGTCACTACCATGTATTGTCCAAAGGCCATATTTATGAAGCAGCAACACGGCTTCAAAGCATAAATCAAATTTTAAAAGAGGTATAGAGCATGAAGAACCTAAGATTCACTGAACATTAGCAGCACTTAAGTTTTTAAGTCATTAGAATTGCATCTTTTGGTGCTGCTTAAAAATTCTACCCAAGAACTTGGTGTGTTTATTCAGATGTTACTTAGTAGTTTCTTTGATTAAACTACTTAGAAGGACTAAATTCTAGCAATGTTATTTTCCCGACTGGTGTTTTTCTCAGAATCGTGTCTCAAATGCAAATTGAGAATATTGGGAGCTAGCCTGATGGCATTAAGATGATACAGAAAATCAAAATCTTTTTCTTTTCTATTATACTATTTTTATTTGTAGCCAGGAGCAGGAGTTTCGAGAAACTTTTTGATATAAATTTTTACAAGTGTCATAATTTTCCCCTGTGTCATACTTGAAGTTATTTTGAAAAGTGATACAATTAGATGTCATGCCTCTTTTTTGCTCTAAGCCATTGTTGGAAGATGCTATCACTAGCCACAGTAGCTCTGTTTGCAAAGCCGGAAAGGTTCAGTGTCAGGTTAGCAAAGTGCAGAGAAGTCAAAAATGTCCTCAGCTATACCTATCATTTTATTCAATGAACCTGAATTGGAAATCATTCCAGAAGAGATTTTTTTATCTAGACTTACAACTCCAGCAGCTGCAGCCAGTGATCCAATGTGCACAACCCTTCTGATGACTTTGTACTCCACCTTAGACCAGAAGTGTAAAAACATTCAGCCACGTTTCACAATTTCTGTGCTAATGGCTGAGGTGCATCATTCACGTATTAATTCACTGTTTTGCTGGAAAGGGAAGATTGTAAAAGTGGGTAGTGATTTCAGATGCTCAAACTGCTAGATTTTAAGTGATCTATATATTCTGAATTTGGTATCTAATGTGTATTTTGAGTTCCAGAGTTGTAAACAGATGCCAGTTGGCCCACTACCATATATTTTTAAGAATGATCACTCAATGGGTTATTTGCTGCAAACTTCATCTCAGCCGTATGGATATCTGCTAGCAGCCATTGTTGTTACTTTGACCTCTCCGGATAAGATAACTAGTTTCTACCCTACCATGCAGACGATACCAAGTTGGGTGGGAGTGTTGGTCTGCTTGAGGGTAGGAAGGCTCTACAGAGGAATCTGGACAGGCTGGATCGATGGGCTGAGGCCAGTTGTATGAGGTTCAACAAGGCCAAGTGTCGGGTCCTGCACTTCGGCCACAACAACCCCATGCAATGCTACAGGCTTGGGGAAGCGTGGCTGGAAATCTGCCTGGTGGAAAAGGACCTGGGGGTGCTGGTCGACAGCCGGCTGAACATGAGCCGGCAGTGTGCCCAGGCAGCCAAGAAGGCCAATGGCATCCTGGCCTGTATCAGAAATAGTGTGGCCAGCAGGAGTAGGGAAGTGATCATCCCCCTGTACTCGGCACTGGTGAGGCCGCACCTCAAATACTGTGTTCAGGTTTGGGCC